AAATATAGTGTGATTCCACAAGTACCACATCGCACCACAGCTACTCTTGTAGCTAGTCTCCAATAGAAAACTCAACTAAGCATTGTTGATCCACTTGTGTCTCATTTCCCCTTCTCAACCAGATAAGAGAATAGGGTTGAGGAGGCTTCTGCGTTGCCAAATTCAGTTTCTTCACATCATAGTGGATATCACATTCTCATAGTTCCCACCATCAATAACAGGCTACAGACCTTACCTCTCATGATACACCTGGTGTAGAAAATGTTATGTCTTAGCCATGAATGATCCTTCTCTGACTTGGTCTGTAGGATCTTCCTTATGATTAACATCTCTCCCTCATCTCCCTATAGTTGAAGTTCCTCATCCTGATCCTCCATGGTTTCCTCATCCTGATCCTCCATGGTTTCCTCCTCGCTTCCTCGATGGCACCCAACTCAATGAAGGAAACAACTTAGCTCGTAGGGCAGTTAGAGGTAGTGTTCATAGCGGTTCACCTAAAACATCTCCTGACAGGCACTATACCGGGCGTGTTACTCTTCTCAGCCTTCTTTCCACTACGATTTATCTTGTCATTCCCTTGTCCAATCTCCACAACCCCTCCAGACTTAAATCTTATTCGTAGCTACAGCTGTAGGCGGTTGTCCGAATGAGGACGGTTGTCTGCTTTACTTATGTTGTCTCTCCACCTTCAATACTAAGTTATAGACATCTCCCAAAGACCAATAGGGTTGCAATTGAACAACATTACTGAAAGCTTGCTTCGGGCCTGCAAAATATTCAGTTATAATATGTTCATCTGGCTCGACTAGCTCGTATTTCATCTGAAGCTGCTCAAACTGTGTCGTGAACTCCTCCACTGATAGAGCCTCTTAAATATATCTTGACGTAGTACGAAGGTAATTATTTCCTCTGCATCTACTTCCTCATCTTCTCCCATCTAATAATATTATCAGTTCCTTCTCTCATTCTTTATCCTGCAAATTTTTCAACCACAAAAGTGAGCTCTTATTCATTTTGATGGGCGCAAGCTTCACCCTCCTATCTTATCGCACCTCTTTGCACTCTAACATTCTCTCAACCCGCTGTAATCATTCCATAAAGTCATATGGATCCATCCCTCCTTCGAACTCCTGTAGATCCACTTTCACTCTGAAATCTCCATGTCCTCCATACGTCGCCTCCTCTCTTGGCCTCCTCTGATAATGAATTTTGAAGCATCATAGTCTATCTTCCTTATCACTGAAGTCCTCTCTATAAAAGGATTTCAAATTCTCATCTCTTTCTCAACTTCGACTCTCTGTATCACGTTAGAGAGTAATTTTTCCATCTGCCTCGTCATCAATTTACGCAAGTGTTGATAGATCTCTCGTTGTATCTCTTTCCAGGTAAGTTCAAACATGTGTCTCATTGGTGGCATGGTTAGGGTTTAGATTTATGGGAGTGGAAGAGGGTATTGGAATGGGGAACAGAAAGATTTTTGGGGGGTCGAGGTAGATTTAGGGTATGGCGGATGTTAAAAGCCCTAAGATAGGACTAGGGTTAAGCTAGCTCAAATACCAAATGATGCTAGAATTAACCCAAAATAACAATAAGAAGCAAGCTTTTATTGCTGAAAACATATAACAGTTGCAATCAAACACTTTGGAATTGAAGAAAACAACAAAGACACCCACACAAACTCTAGCGAGGGCAGACCGGTGGTGTGTGGTTAGTGGTCGAAACAGGGTAAGGAGGGAAGTTTTAGGGGTGTGACTATGGGTGAACAAAGGGAGCTTCGGTTGTGGGTCAGTTTGGTCGGCTGTAGGAAGGGGGTAGGGGGCATGCTGAGAGTAGTTTGCTTCAGGTAGGGGAGTTGTGGGTTGGTTACAGGTAGGAGGATGAGTGTTGTAGGGTAGGGAGGAGTTAGCTGACTGTAGGAGGGTTTGGGGTAGATTACAAGGAAGAGCATGACTGCAGTAGGGGTAGGGAGGAGCTGGCTGCAAGTAGAAGGAGAAAGGGGAGGGAATACGAGGAGATAACCACCACCTTAGAGCAGGACACGGCTGGAGCACCAATTGTCCTTAGATACAGCTCTAGCAAGAGAGAGACGCCAATGACAAAAAAAATGGAAGCAAAAAACTAACCCTAACCTAAGAAAAACAGCATATATATAATATAGATAATATATAATATAGATAACTAATGGGGAGTCCCTCCTCTTTGGCAGCAACCCTAACCCAATAGAAAGGCTCAGTCGGCCCTTGAACCTGCTCTGATGAACCGTCAGCACAAGGACGAGCCCTATGTCAATTACATGTTACACTCTATATAGCTCCATGTGTACCCATAAAACCAAATTAATCATTTATATTGTCATGTGCGTGACCATAAGACCTAGGTTTTTTGATGTAATAAACCCAACAAATGACTAATCCAATGTGGCTAAATCATTATTTTATTGGCCTCATTGATGAGTGTCATTAATTATTCAAGAGCCTCCTAAACCATTAACCTCCCAAAATTTCTCTCCCAGTAAGCTTTTAAACTCTCGCATGTAAGGAAAAAAGACAAACATTTAACCAAAAAATTAAACTTTTGCATTCAACATAAAGTTGGTGATGCCTTGAAATAGAATTTAGTAAATCGCATAATTGCTTAGCATTAAAGCTTATGTCAATCAAGGAGGACCGAAATCAGGCAGTTGAATTAGGAGTTTTCTATAATTATGAGCTTCCTTATTTAAATTATTTTCAATGTCTTTATTCTGATTTATTTCCCTTTTAGCTGAATATTTAGATTAGAAATATATATTACTAAGTTACCTAAATTAGATTATGCACCTTATTTTATACCTGAAATAGATTGTAAGATTATTATTTAATGGAATGAAAGCAAAGAGAAAAGGCATCGAGCCTATTCAGAATTCAGCCAATTTTTCTCAAAACTTTGACAAGGTATCATCGTTAAATTTTTGCCCTAACCACTGATAATCGTTGGAGGACCTTCAATACTCTCTTCTTGCCAGCCTTCTTACGGGACGGGAATGGAGGAACCATTTTTTTGCCTTAATTCTCGTTCGTCTGCTCGTCGTCTCATTATTTCTCCGCCCGTGTCGTCTTCCTCTTCGACTAGGCTGGTCTCGACGGAGCCTCTCCTTCGTTCGAACTCTGTCGGCAGCAGCTCCCACTTTTTCATCACCTTCATCTGCACGCCAACAAAATATTCCTTGACCTCGGCATCATCACTGTTGGCGTGAAGATCAGGGAACATATCATCATCGTTGTCGCAGGAAGAATCAATAGCATTTGGATCGTATAACAGAATGTGGATCCTACTTGTGGGCTATGACCGGTAGCATTTGGATCAAGACGCGAATTCTACTTGTAGGCTATGATCGATAGCATTTGGATCGTGTAATTGGATCCTACTTGTGGGCTATGATTAGTAGCATTTGGATCAGGATGCAGATCCTACTTGTAGGCTATAATCGATAGCATTTGGACCGTGTAACTGGATCCTATTTGTGCGCCATGATTGATAGCATTTAGATCGTGTATCTGGAAGCGGATCCTTCTTGTGGCTATAATTCGAATTTCTGGACGACAATGATAAATGATTTTTTGTTTTTCTTTGCTCAAATCATGTTATGGTTCAGGAGTTGTCTCTGAGACTTCGGCATTCTCGGTTTTGACACTTTCGATTTCGGTACTCAGGGCTTGAAGATTGTTGGTCCCGACAGTGTTATCAGTTTCTTGTTAGCAAATTAATGTTTTCTGATCAGTCAACATCAATTTGAGGTGGGATGTCAATTAGGGAGGACGGAAATCAGGCAGCTAAATTAAAAATTTTCTATAATTAGGAGCTTCCTTATTTAAATTCTTTCAAATGCTTTTATTCCGATTTATTTTCCTTTTATTTATTTTCCTTTTAGCTGAATATTTAGATTAGAAATATATATTATTAAGTTACCTAAAATAGATTATGCACTTTATTTTGTACCAAATATATATTATAAGATTATTATTTAATGGAATGAAAGCAAAGGGAAAAAGGCATTAAGCCTATTCAGAATTCAGCCAATTTTTCTCAAAACTTTGACAGCTTAAATTTATTTTAAAGCTTCACAAACAATTTGGCATATTATGATCACTTCTCTTATAAAAAAAAAATGACTTGAGAGAACTTTTATTTCATAAAATATCAAAAAACATGTTTCTATATTTATTTTTAATTACTCAGCTAACAATTTTGCTAATAAATATTAGCTTATCGTCAGAAAGAGATGAAACTATAACCTAAGAGTTTCTCTAAAAACAATTACATACCAATAGATAAAGAAAAAGACAAATAAAGTAATCAACCAATTCCATGCTATATTATTTGTCCTATCACAATTTTATCTGAAGCTAAGAAAGTGTAAGGAAAGGAACCGCAAGGTAAAGTGAACCAAGCATTTATGACTCCTGATGCCAACTCCTCCTCAAGCCGATGAACAGCATTTTTCTATCCAAGAGATACTCTTTAGCGTCAACTAAACTAACGAAGTTTAGCAGTCTCTAATGCCAAAAAATAGATATTGCTAAATAATGATGAGCTGTAAATATCTAGATGTTAGTAGGGAACGCAGATTGGCAAATTCAACTTTAAGAAAATGTAGAAGTTAGTGGCTATCACATTGTTTATCATTAAAAAATTAAGGGAAAAAAAAAACTTTGATAAATTTACTGGACCACTCAATTTCATGGTCAGATAGTAATGTCTGACGATAGTTGTCCCCCGTTCAGAAGTAAAATGTGATTAATTAGCAATATCCTCCCTCCTCCCCACCACTCCAAAAAATGCCATGCATATGTACACATTCAATACACATACGCATTAGTACTATAGCAAGAAATGTTCTAATATAAACTATCTGAGATATGATAGGGGTTGGGAACAATATGTCAGTACTATATTCATAACTAGTACAGCTATAAATTGTTTGAAGTTAAATGCTTAATACTTAGAACTCCAGTAACAACCTTGTCTTTAGTCAAAGTAATTGTTAGGTTCTTCTGAAATGGAATGCACTGCTCCAAATTGGGAAGATACTGTGCGCCATCAAAAGTTCCATTAGCGATAAAATTTGACACTGCAACAAAAAACATAGGTTTATTCCTGCACATGACTAAGTGATTGATCAGATGTGAAGATTATTTGTGTGATTTAGAATGGAAACACCAACATGTTTTGTTTTCAAAGTAGGTTTTTTCCTTTGCATATTTTGATTATATTAATGCATTCTACCAAACCAAATAAAATAGACTTCTGCAAAGAAAAATAAAATGCAACAGCTAGTCAAACAAAATGATAACCCAGTGTTTCCTAGAGAACAAATATCAACTGGCAGCCCTCAAAAGGTTAAATGAAATAAACCCATGTATTAGTAAAAGTATAGTTGTACCATGACGAACATTACAACACACCATCCCAGGAACAAATGATGAATATATAGGTAATACAATTTCTTACTGATTGAATATCAAAACACATATAATAAAACACAGTGCATATATTTATAGGCACTTTTTGGAGGAAAAACATCAAATTTTTTCGAAGGAAGTTACCAATGTGAAATCATTACACTTTGGAAGGTAACATTCAGTACAGCTGAAGAGCATGTTTTCTTTTGATGTGGATAAAATCAAAGCAGAAATATTGTGCTTTGTGCTTAACAACCAAGTAATGAATCTTACATAAAGAATCCAAGTAAGCATCGGATACATCCGGAAGAGGCAGACGGCCTTGATTGAAGCATAACACTGGAAGCATGCTCTTTGGAATCTTCTTAAGTTGTTCCTTATCCTGACAAAGCAAGAAATAATCATTGCAGCCCTGGTTAGGCAATTAAGTTATGTTCCAATAAGAAGCAAAACCGGTACCGGAATTAACCCAAATCACAAAGAAATGCAAATATTAGTGCTGAAATTCAAATATGTTACAACGAAGACTCTTTAAAACAAGGAAATAAATAACAACAAACACAAACAGAGCACCCTGGGCTGAGGACGACGGGGCTAGATAGCTGGCAGACAGCAATTAGGGGGTAGTTGGAGGTTGCGGTTGCTGGAAAGGGGGATGCCATCAATAGAAGACGGCGTCTACGAGGATGGTTGGAGAGCTAGCGGTGGCAAGCAGGGAGTTAGGAAAGGAATTTCAGCAGCAGGTTGGTGGGGCTGTATGGGGCAGCGGCAAGGGCAAGAGAGAGGATTAAGGGTCTGTTTGGGACAACTATGAAGTTGTTGTTCAAAAAACTTTGATGGCTTTTACAAAAAAAAAAAATTTGAAAAAGTCTGATCGCAGCTCTCTAGCAGTCACCACAGGTAGCAAAGTCTGGTGGGAAAACGCAGCATTTAGCTGCAGTTTTTTTAGAACGCATGCAAGACGTAGTTTGCCAAACAGAAAAAACTACGGTACGACACTGCACTGTTACCGCATTGCCGTCCCAAACACATCATAAGATTGGTGGTAGGAAAAATGGGAAAGGAGCGGGCAATGGGGTGGAAGGTTTGGGGGCTACATCAGACAGCAGAACTTCTATCTTTGGGGTGAACTACAGCAAGTACGATGAAGGCGATGACGATGGCGATGGCGATGGCGATGGCGATGGCGATGGTGAGAGGGAGGTTGCGGGTGAGGGGGAGGTCGGGGATAATCACCACTTAGTAGCGAGATACAACCGGAGCACCACTCATCCTCAGATATAGCCCTGGAAAAAAAAGGGCTCCAACGGCTGTCCAATATAGAAATTTCGGCAAAAACTAAACTCTAACACAACAAACAACCTATTTATAATAGAAAGATAGCTAGGAGGGGTCCCCGTGGGCAGCGGCAGCTATCAGCCCTAATTTGGGCCATGAGCAACTTTAGCCCTAGCAGCCTCGTGTCAGTCTCCCGGGGTTGGGGGAGCTTTGATTTTATTCATTGAAGCTTCTGGTTCTTCTTCTGCAATCCTAGCAGCACTTGGATCCTACTATCAGTTGGGCCGCTCATTTTTATGCTAAGCGTGTCATTCATGACTCTTTCTTTTTGTTGCATGTAGATAATGATAGGTAACTATGCTCTATTCTTGATGATAATAGGTCTCTTTTTTTTTACATCATAGGTGCAAACATGCATAATTTTCTGTACTTTTTTGAGATTTTAATGTGAATTGCAATATTCAAGGATCCCACTATAAGTTATATTGTCTCCCAAAGCAATCTAAAGTCAGCATAACCTGATCTGCAGTGGGGATAACCCAAGCCTCCCTGAACCGTGGTGAACAAGGTGGTAAGATATCAATTGTGTTGTCCTGCAATGCTCTCTGTCATGACAACCACGCATCTGGAATCAGTGTCTCAGTCCTATCATCCTCATCATCGTTAAAATTGTTCTCACTGAAGCTACTCTACTGGCAAGGGTACCTGTGATATCGTATTCCGCAGAAGGTAGAAAGACGATGCGGTTCCCGTCCTTGTTAAAGAAGTAGGTGTTTCTGAACCTATCATGTTGTGTCCTACGGTCGAATTGCCATGGTATCCCCAACAAAAGGTGGCAAGCATCCATGGGTATCATGTCGCACCACACTTGATTCTGCATCTAGCTTCCAATTGAAAACCACATTTCTACTAATTGTTTGCTACTTTGTAAAGTGAAGGACAAATTCAAAATGCGGGGATTTACTCTCCCCACCTTTTCTAGATTCGAGGAAGTCATTGGCGTGATGCACAACGTTACTTCCCCCAACAGAAATTTTGCTCGAATGTATTGTAATGCTGTCTACATCTGTTGGAGAGAAAGAAATGCCAAGAAGCACAACAACACCCACAGTACGCCTACCACTATTGCTTCGAACTTATTCTAGGTCTGGACTGATCCTCAGTCTCACCCTTTCTCGGAGTACTGGGATGCCAATTAGCCACATAGTTTGCATGTTCGTGATTTATAGCATCCCCCCTTCAGGTTGGATTAAAGTGAACACTAATGGAGCTCTCCTCCCCTCTAACTGGGCTGCTATTGGGATCATTATTATAGACGAGATGGGACGGCTTATTGTGGCCAAAGATAGCAGTTTTACTCATTGAGACAGCACACAAGTGGAGATCGCATGCACTCTATTCTCTTGTTGATGAGTGGATGACCGAGTGTTGTGGTTTCATAATTGAAGGGGACATTACAATGTAATGGAGTACTTCATACATGGTATGGAGAAGAAAATGTGGCAATGCAACTATCCCGAAAATCCAAATACGGCCATAAAAAATAAGAGATGTAAATTTTTAATTACAATAAATCAGAGTATAAACAAATCCTAGCTATTTAAAGAAATGTAGAAATAAATCGACATAACAAACACCTATTTAAAAATATATTTAACTGGGAATACATCAACATACTCACAATTTGAACACTAGTTGTGAAGATCATTGTTATGGAAGAGAACCACAGTGGCACGTCAACTGCAGCAAGACAGCATTAAATCCAATACATAAGAAAAAAAAAAAAAAAAAAAGAGAAAGGGAAATATATTAATATATATGCATACCATACAATTCTTATCTATTAACAAATCTAACACATAAACTTTGATATTTACATTTATAACACTTCAGAATTAAGAAAAATATGCATGAGAAGGGGAACATCACTTTTAAAAAGCTAGTGATAGTGATATTTTTTATGTGATGCTAAAATTTTAGGGGTTAGATATCTAAATATGTAAGAATTGTGTGGTATGTATGTATATGCCCCAAAAAAATGCTGACAGAAATTCTGAGGCTAGAAAAAAAGGCTTTCATGATCCTCAAACAAAACCTTGCACAAATACCAACGCTACTATGCACACTACATTTCGTTCACTCTTCTTTCCTTTGTCAAGGAAATCTACAAACTTATAAATTCATTGTCAATAAAAAAAAGAGACAAAAGAACTGCACAGTGCAAGCTTGGGCCTTTCGAACCAAAAAACAAAACCTTAAAATTGAATTAACCTCTTTATCAAAATACAAAAATTAACGAGAAGGTACAAAATTAAATTCAAGTCAAACGGGGTATAAGACAATACACACAGCAATAGAAATAGATCATAAAAGACTAACAAAATTGAAGAAAGGTAAGGCACATCAAATAGCCTTAGTAAGTGTATGATAGAAATTCTAATTCACAATTGAAAGCGTTGAGATTGTCTAGATAAACTGTTGAACTAAGCCACTCGTCACTCAGCCCTCTCCAGTCGGCCCAAGAGAAACATGACCAAATGAAATACACAGAATATAGATATTAAATATATTTACTCTGATACATTATCCTCTGAATGCAAATATTATTTATGTATATTTTATAATAAAAATTTTATATAAATGGGGAAGAGTGAATATAAAAGGTAAGGCACATCAAATAGCCTTAGTAAGAGTATGATAGAAATTCTAATTCATAACTGAAGGCATTGAGATTGTCTAGATAAGCTGTTAAACTAAGCCAGTCGGCCCATAGCCCTCTCCAGTCGGCCCAAGAGAAACATGACCAAATGAAATGCACAGAATATAGATATTAAATATGTTTACTCTGATACATTATCCTCTGAATGCAAATATTATTTATGTATATTTTATAATAAAATTTTAATATAAATGGGGAAGAGTGAATGTAAAAGAATACTCTTTTTTCCTCCACCGGGGGTAGCTATTAGAAGAAAATATAACACATACACTCTCTCTCTCTCTCTCTCTCTCTCTCTCTCTCACACTCTCACTTTACGCTCTATTCATGGGTGTGAAACAGACAAATCTAAGTTCAAATAAAAAGATGAGTGGTACAAGGAGAAGAAATGAGTCATAAAGAAGTAACGAGCAACATATATTGTGCCAGAAAACTCAACTAGGAAAATAGTCGAACTCATCCACTCGGCCACCTGCACTCGGCTTCCAACATTCAGCTAGAAAAACAGCGCTCCTAATAATGTTATCTCAAAAAAAAAATTAGGAAAACTGTCTTGTACAAGGAAAGATAACTCATGAATGAGTAGAATCAAGCATCAAGAAAAACCTCTTAACAAATGGGAAAAATCTCTCCTAACTCTTTCTTATTTGTATTTCATTTCATTGTGTTTATGTTTTTTCAAATTCTTAAGTGTGTATATTACTTGTTACATAAAAAGAGTTTGGCACAAACAATCGGAGAACTTGATCCTCATAGGCAATTTTTTCTAAGAATAAAAGAAAGTGGCCTACACTTTTAGACTCTGTTCGGCTCAATAGTTGAATTCTAGGGACTATTTTGAAGAAGTTATTCCCAAAATATGAATCGGTAAAATAAAAGAATGAAGTCATTTAATCTAGAGTTGAAGACCACAAGATCTCGTCCTAGGTAAAGTTGAAAATTACGGCAACTTCTTTTTATAGGAGAGCTGGAGGCCCTCAGGTGAATGACAGTTTGAATTTAACAAAACGTTATAACTAAGTCATATTAAAAGGAAAAAGTCAATCTACTCGCACGAAAAGAGGGAATTCATTTCACTAGTAGCACTCGGGAAACTCTCCCTATAAGACCATTGAGTCAATTGTAATAAGATTGAGCTAGCAATCTATGAATACTACTCTCTGAATGTGAGCTAAAAATAGCCCGAGAACAAAATCCTGTAAGTGTAGCCAAAGTGCCCCAAGTATGATTCCCTATAGGAGGACTAAGAACCCCGGGCAAATGAATAGTCAACACACAAAGAGATACGCCGCTCGATTTTATTTAAAAGGTTTTTTAACTTGTATTTGGAGATAATAATGCACTAATAAATTCATTTTTTAAACAGGAGAAAGATGCACTTATCATATAGAGATGAACAATGTTAGTTTCATATTCATCATTATCTTATTCTTTTTGCAGTTACTTTTCAAAGAGAAAAGAATCATGAAACTAATATGCATGTAAGAAACTATCATTTACAGTTTAAGGCGCTAAGATTGTCCAAATAACTTGTTGAACTCAACAGCTCGTCACTCAGCCCTCTCTATTCGGCTCTCTTCAGTCAACCCTCTTCAGTCAGATCAGGAGAAACGTGACCAGACGAACTGCATGGAATATACATATAAAATATGTTATAAAAGGGGAAGAGTGAATTTAAAAGGGAACTCTTTTCACTGTCATTAGGGGATAGCTATTAGGGGAGAATACAACACTTTCTCCACTCACTCACTCTCTCCCTACCCCCACCACCTTTTTAAGCTTTATTTCTTGGGAGTGATTTACGGACAAATCTGAGTTCAACAATAAGAGACCTATAAACAAACAGTTCTAATTCAACAAAGTGGAATAAAAGGGGTTTATAGGGCCCCCTACAACTTTCACTTTTCTCTATATATAAAGTTTTGAAAGATTATTTGGGAGCTTCTTAGGTACCTAAAGAACTTTTCCATCCATAAATTAACATTACAAATTCAAGTCTTAATTACTTGAAGAATTAATAAAATAATTGTATTTTTAGTATTAAATTACATCACTGATATTGCTTACTCCTTAAAAAAGAATCAATATGTCAGAAAAGCGTAAGCGAATAGTTTATGAAGAATAAGCATTTCATTTAAGGAATGCCTCATCCATAATCTTTTTGATAGAAACAACCATTGCTAATGAATCATAAGCTTTAGTTCCAAAACGAGCACATATAACATGGGATAATAATGAAAAAAGGTTGAAGATGCAATACTCTTACGAGTTGAGTTTGTTAATGACAATTGCCTGACGAAACTAAATTTAGTAGCTCTTCAAACCATTTAGCTTTTTAGTTCAATATCACTTTAATCCCGAACCAACAACACAAAAAACTAGAACCCCTCAATCAGTACAACGTTCTCTAAACCGCAAGCCATGTAAATGATTTCAAAACCATAGAATTAGAATTAAATATGCGTATATTTCTCTCAAACAAAATTCTTAAACCTGCTAAAACAATGGAAGAAGAAACTGAAGCGTTGCATGGTATGCAGGTATAACCACAATTTAAGGCAAACATTACCAAAGTGTTTATTAGGAGCTTAAATCCTATTAAGGGGATGATTGGGACTTATGAAATTTTGAATTTAAGGTTCAAAATTTGCCTTCCATTCTGGATTTGCTAAATCCTACTAAATATCGTTTTTGTCCCGTTTTTCTGTTGCAGCCTAATTAGTTAAATCCTATGGGAGCTAGAAATAATCCGATATTGCTATCGCGTCTTCTTCTCCCGCGTACTCCACTCACACGCCGCTTATTCATGCTGACCTAAAGTCTAAACTATTAACTGCAGACTATCTCCTGGGGAAAAGATACCCCATAAGCAGAAATTCCCATTCCAGCTACATATCTCTCCAGCCTCCAAACTATTAGAATTTGATTCCAGCGACAAGCACCTGTAAACCTCCACCCCAGCCAAACCTTCCCACAAAAACTCAATAAAGAAAAATAAACTTTCTCTCAGAAAAACAAACAACGGGGCAGCACAAAGATGAAGAAAAAAAAAACAGCAACAATGATCGAAGGAAAGAGGAAGGTCTCAGCTCTTACCTCTCAAGTAAGTCCAATCATAAGGCCGCAGCCATATGTTCGGTCGGCTAAAGCTCCAAATTGTGGAGGACTCCATTTGACCCTGCACTCGCCCTGCTGCCATCGTCCCCATGAAAAGCCACAAAAGCCAAAAAAGGCGGAGTGGATCGGAAGCACCCATGAACCAGATTAAACGAGGATATCCCTTGCTGGAAACTCTATGCGATATCAAAAAACCCTTTTTCTTTCCCTTGAATTGCCTTCGGTTCTTTGGAAGGAAGAGTATGATGGGGGATTATTTCAGAGAGGAGGAAGAGGAGACTTTTGCTCGGAGCTCTGGCGACGGCAGCCTGAGGAACGGAAGCCGGGTGGCGATGACGGACCAGGCGAACCGTTGAATCTTCGGACTTGTATCGAATCCATTTGTCGTTTCCCCCTTTTTTTCTTTTTGGTGGACATTATTACATAAATACCACCCTTTTTTTGGACATTATTACATAAAGACTACTCAATTTCTATCTATTTACATGTCCACGACAAAATGTAATTTTTACATTTATATCACACAAACCTTTCATATCATATAAAAAAAGTTATCATTTTAATTTAATAAAAATAATAATCTTTTTCAAGCATATCTAAGATGGCATAACTGTAGCATTTTTAGAAGTTAAATATATAAATTTATAAGAAGTAGGGCTCTCAAAACTGTTCGGTTGTTCGCAAACAACTCGTGTTCGACTATTGAGAAGCTCGTGTTCTGCTCGTTCGCTAAGTTAACGAGCCGAACATGAATAACACGAATAAATATTTGTTCGTTTGTGTTCGGCTCGTTTTAGCTCGAAATACTACTAATCAATTATATATATATGTTTGATGAGTAGTATTTTTAAATAATTTAATTGACTACGAGGCTACAAAGATTTATAATTAATTAAAAATATTAATTAAAAAAATAGAATAAAAATTATTAAATTAGATTCAAATGATATTTTAAATCTTGCTCAAATCCTTAAATCTTATGGGTACGTGATTGGGGTTGTCAAAACGACTATTTGTTCGTGAACGGCTCGTGTTTTCGGCTCGGTAAGCAAGGGAGCCGAACACGAACACACTTTTTGAGCTCGAAATATAAACGTGCCGAACACGAGCAGAGCCTGGGCTCTCACGTGTTCGGCTCGTTTACACCCCTAATAAGAAGTAATATATATGTATTTTTTTTGGCTCGCACAGATCTTAAAAGGGAGCAAATATTACATGCAGCGAGTGCACGTCCAACTATAATGATTCAAATAGACCTTGTGCGACACATTATTGTGTCGTTGCATCCAAAAATTCAAATAGATGTAAGGATTTACCACAAATAATATTTTATCATTAAATAGGATTATTTACGTACCTACCCTCCAATTCCTATATATTTACATTGCTTGCACTTAATTTTTTATTTTTTTTATTTTTATACCATCCAATTTTTTTTATATCACATAAAAAATATATCTTTTATACACAAAAAAAAAGAAATTTGAAGATTAGGCGTACACATAAATACTTAAAAATTGAGTGGCACATATTATGCACATAATTCGTCTTATTTTAATTATTTCTAATTAAAAAAAAAGCATTTAACATATTTAATTTAAATAAGGGGGCAAAGGGACATCAAAAGTCATGCTCCAATAATTAAAGGAGGACATAGCTCCATTGAAAATAATATTATTGTTATTATATTTAAGGGTCTGTTTGAGGCAGTCTGTTTAGGGTCTGTTTGAGGCAGCTGCAGTTTATTGAATAATCTGCTGATAAGCTGATTAAAAATAATCTGCTGATAAGATATGTGCGATGATTATTGCAAATTTTTATTTTTTTTGAGAAGCTAGACCGCTGTCAGAAAGCTGTCACTACACCTAGACTTGTGTGGTGTGAAAACACAGTTTTCGACATTTTGAAAACGCATAAATTGCCAAAACGCAGTTTACCCAAACAAGTCAGGTGCGTTTTCAAAACGTCACCGCACCAATTAAGCTGCCCCAAACGGACCGTCAATTATTACATGCATTGATTCATTTAGAATGAGTTTTTAATAATCCATTAAAGCAATGTTTTACATTTACATACAAACCATCTAAAACATGCTCTTTCATTCATTTTTTTGAATTTTTTATCAAATATCAAAATTCATGATAAAAATGTACCCCATAATTTTCTTTTTCATCAAATTCTTAATGATTTGTTCGTGTAGTTCAAAAAAAAACTTCTGGGTGGCTAGTTCGTAAATATCAATATTTTGAATGGTCTATATGTAATTAACCCTTTTTTCTGTTCTTTTTTTGGTGAATATGTAGGCACACATTTTTAATAGAAATGGAATAAAAATATAATGTCTTATAATTTTTCTTATTTCTGAAATGTTATGGGGGCATTACATTGCACACATATCCTATGCATTTACATATCTCACACCTAAACTTCCATATTTACGTTCATAACCTTAAAAAGAAGCACTTTTACCACTTTTTATAAGTGAATACACATTTTCACATATAAGTTTAATGAACAAAAGTGATACACATAAATATAAAAGTTTAGATGTGAGATATATAAATACATAAGAATTGTGTGCTATGTATGTAAATTTCCCGATCTTATAATAGCAATGTTCTTTTATCGAATTCTCCTTAATATCTCTTCTAGTTATATTCAAATCTCTATGCTTGTCACCGATCACCTGAGATTGCAACCGACCACCAGAGTTCGTCTATGACCACCGAAAGTCTTCATCAACCACAAGATGTCATTGTTTACCACTACTCATTATCGACCACCACCAACTCTGACTTTGTTAGCCCTACTAAAGCAATTATAATCTCTTACAATTATGGCTTCTATAGTCAATTACTGTTGTCATAGCCATAAATTACAACTTATACATTCAACTACAACTTCTGTAGCCAACTACAACTGTTATAGCATCAAAGATTATTATAGTTAAACTACAATAATTATCGTCTCAAATACTTTTAACAGTTATATATGTTGGGCTCTTTCAAAGCAGTTATGATTTCAATATCTACTTGTAATGATGTCTTTCATAATCTATGTGAGTGCAAGTCTGGACTTCTACTCATCCCGTAACTTTTTTTTTATTTGAGTGTGTGTTAAATGTTTATATGATGTTATGACGTTAAATTATCACTAAACTACCATGAATTTTCTAAAATGTGACAGTCCTATCTAGAGATCCTACCAAAGCTTTTAGCATTGATTACATACGACTTTATCTTATGTGGTGTTTGGCTGCATCATAGATTTACGTTAAATAGAATTTAGTAAAAGCCAGATTCATCAAATCCATTTTGACGAAGGGAAGCTTCAAAGCCACGGACCGTAAATCCGCCTGCGACTCAGATTTAATAAATCCAAATTTACGTAACAAATAAGACAACGCGGAGAATATTCAGCAAAACACAAGAAAAATCAGTTTAACGGAGTGTTGGATTTAAGATTCAGTTTTTTATATTTGGCTGAATTTAAGCTAAATATGTTGTTAAATCCGTCTAATGATAGCCTTTTGGACTAAATAAAAATTATAGAAGGAAACTCATTAATTATTTAGTTTTAAACCATTGTATAATCATATAAATTGCCATTTAAATAGGTTCAACCTTACCGAATCATAAGTTGGACTTATTCTTGTGCTTCATCCTAGTTGGTCCTTATATACCTACATTTTTCCCAAGTTTTTTTTTTTTCATTTTTTCTCATTTAGTTAGTCACATGCTTGTATATAGTAAGTGACTATGAGATCCTTTTAACTTGAGCCTAAGATTGATCTATTGTCAAATTAGACCCAACATATCTTTGACCTTGGATTGATCTAGTGATTTCAAACTAAATAGTTTAAACACTTAGCCAAATTTATGAAATAAAACATGTACCATAAATATAATAGGTGGATTGATCTCAATTGACAGTTCTAAATATTCAGACCCTAATTACTCGTAATTTGGCCTAACATAATCAATAATTAGGTAAATATAGATAAATAAGTTATGATTGTGTAAATCATCCTTGTCTAATCTTTTAAATTTAGTTTAATATATTAAAAATATTCTAATAAATTTAAATAAACCTTTCATTTAGTATAATTAGACTAGTTTACCCAACTAGGCTGAAATGGATGCATTTAACCATTTAAGGCATATATGTGTGTTTAGGGACACCTCTTGCGTGAGATAGAATGTGCAAATCATGCACAGAGTTTTGAAATTTCTCATTTGTGACCGAATACTAAATCAGAAATAGTTCATCGCCTCGACAAGCTAAAAAAATACTATGTTACGATAGGACTAATTATGAAGTAACTGTTTCACTACTCAAGGGGAATACATACTAGAATTATTTTCCTTGGCCTATAATTATAAGGCATGGTTTATGTTAATATGAGATTTGGCATCCCTAAAGCGTCATGTCTCTTTAGTTAATTACATTTTATAAGAGGTTAATCTCTTATAAAATCTCTCAAATAAAATAATAAGTGGTGTTTTCGTAGACCTCAAAGATTGAATTCAGGAATATCATTTAAATTTTTAAGAAGAATTGGCTCAATTTTGGAATAATTTTTGTTAGACGCCAACAATTGAGGAGCACGGAGCACCTAACATAGGGAGACCTAATGGTGCTCCAGATTATTCTATAATTGGACTTTACAATTTAAAATTTGAATTTGATATTGTTGTTAGAGTCGATCTTTTTTTTATTTATTTGGAAGGTTATAACTTATATTCCAATGAAATATATCATAAATAAGCCTAAGAGATGACTTACCTCGTGATAAAAGCCAATATGACTACCTTGTACTTTAAATTAAGGTGAACTCTACTCATATTGATAAGAACAAGAATCTAGTCTATAAAGATAAAAGTGAGACTTACAACCTTCATTCCCGCTAAGGAGTAGAATTCCGTTGATTGTTCTGAACTTATAACCCACCTCAAAAAGGTTGACAATTAATACCTTGTATGCTTTTAAAACTATGTTGTCGATCACATATACGTTAAGAGTGGTAGGATGTTATAATTTTATATAGATGCATTGGGATTTATGACTCAAATCTGAATAATGAGCACCCCGAGTATTAATGCATCTAACAAATACAACTTTTTTACATTTAATTTTTTTCTTACTTGCCCAAAATAATTATTATGATTTGTGCTTGACAGCTATGTTGGGTATGTGATCCAAGTATTTAGGCATATTTGGGAAGTTAATTACAAGTCAATCATGTAGGAAAGGCAGACCTTCTCAGTAAGGGTGATGATCCACACAGGTCGGATCCCTCATTTACATGCTACGAGAAAAAGCCCAAGGACATATTGAATAAAATATGAATGTAACGGGTTTAGTTATCACTATTAATTTTT